CTGAGCAAAAAGAACAAAACTGGAGGAATCACATTACCTAACTTAAAATTATACTACAGAGCTGTAGTAACCACAACAGCGTGGTACTGGCATAAAAGCAGACATATAGGCCAATGGAACAGAATTGAGAACCCAGAGATAAATCCACACATCTATAGGGAACTTATCTTTGTCAAAGTTGCCAAGAACATATAGTGGGGAAAGGACAGTCTCTTCAACAAATGCTGCTGGGAAAACTGGATATCCCCATGTGCGGAAGAATGAAACTAGATCCTTATCTCTCACCATATATAAAAATCAAGTCAAAATAAATTAAAGACTTAAATGTAAGACCTGAAACAATGAAACTATTGAAAGAAAACACTGGGGAAATGCTTCAGGAAGTTGGTCTGGGCCAGGACTTCTTGAGTAATACCCCCAAAGCGCAGGCAACCAAAGTGAAATTGGACAAATGGGATCACATCAAGCTAAAAAGCTTCTGCACAGCAAAGGAAACAATCAACAAAGTGAAGAGACAACCCACGGAATGGGAGAAAGTATTTGCACACTACCCATCTGACAAGGGATTAATAACCAGAATATATAAGGAACTCCAACAACTCAATAGCAAAAAATCAAATAATCCTATTTTTTTTTCTTCAGAAGAAACTTAATGATTTATTAATGCCTTAGACCAACTCTACCCTTTCCTGTGAGGCTTCTTTCCACTTTAGCAGGGCCTAGAATAGACGACACTTTTCACCGCTCCTTGAGGTAAGCTGGCCCTGCCCTGGGAAACGAGCCACCATCTCTGCTAGGAGTGGAGCAACTTCCTCCCTGACTGTGGCAGGCATGGCCTTCCTCTCAAGAGTGTGCAGTCGCCATGTCTGCTCCTGGAATTCTGGAGGGCACGCTGGTAGCTCTGACTCAGGCGGTGCAAATGCAATAGATACACCCCAAACATTTGTACCCCTGTAAAAATTTTGAGGGGAAAAAAAAGGTTACCCTGAGGTGACAACCCACAGGATGAGATGTTGAAGAAGCAAGAAAGAAAAGATGGTACCAGTCAAGCAAACAGACAAATAATCCTATTAAAAAATGGGCAAAGGATCTCAATAGGCAGTTCGCAAAAGAAAACATACAAATGGCCAACAGGTATATGAAAAAATGCTCAATATCATTAGTCATCAGAGATATGCAAATCAAAACTATAATAAGATATAATCTCACTGCAGTTAAAATGGCTTTTATCAAAAAGACAGGCAATAACAAATGCTGGCAAGAATGTGGAGAAAGGGGACCCTCTTACACTGTTGGTGGGAATGTAAATTAGTGCAAGCACCATGGAGAACAGTATGGAGCTTCCTCAAAAAACTAAAAATAGAACTATGCTGTGACCCAGAAATCCCACTGCTGTGTATATATCCAAAAGAAGGGAATTCAGTATATCGAAAAGATATCTGCACCCCTATGTTTACTGCACACTATTCACAATAGCCAAGAGCTGGAATCAACCTAAGTGTCCATCAAGGAATGAATGGATAAAGAAATTGTGGTACATATACACAATGGAATATTATATAGCCATAAAAAGAGTGAAATCCTGCCATTTGAAACAACACGGATGGCCGGGCGCAGTGGCTCATGCCTGCAATCCTAGCACTCTGGGAGGCCAAGGCAGGAGGATCGCTTGAGGTCAGGAGTTGGGGACCAAACTGAGAAAGAGCAAGATCCCGGCTCTACTAAAAATATTTTTAAAAATTAGCCAGGCTTGGTGGCACTCGCCTGTAGTCCCGGCTACTTAGGAGGCTGAGGCAGGAGGATCGCTTGAGCCCAGGAGTTTGAGGTTGCTGTGAGCTAGGCTGACACAACTGCACTCCAGCCCAGGCAACAGAACAGGACTCTGTCTCAAAAAAAAAAAAAAAAAAACAAAGAATAGGAAAAGGAAGGTTCAAAAAGCACAGTCAAAGTCCCGGCCCTTCTCCCTGCAGCAGTCGGGAGCCCGGCCCACGGGCCTTTTCCGCTGACGAAGTCTTCCTCGGACACCCCACCTAGGAGGCATTCTTGCCAAAAACATCGAGCCTCAGTGTGTTCTAGATCTAATTTCCAGTTTACGGGAGACAGAGAAGACACTCAGGGATGGGTTAAAATCTGGGAAATTCTACGGTGCAAACAACCTGACCTGGTTTCTTCCACAAGGAAGTTAGAGGGAAAAAGAAAAGGCAAAGGAAAGTGAAGATCAAGACTTCGGAGACGTGTCAACCAAACACAGCCTACAGATCTCGCTCGGGTCCTGCTGCAAACAAACCAACCGAGTCAAGAGACCGTGGATCGGACAGTTGGGGAATGCCTAGGATTTGCTTCAGAGCAACCCAGGGGCTGGGTGAGGAGTGGGAATGCAGAAGAAACTAGATCGTTCATGGGTTGACGATTGTTAAAAATGGGTTTTGGGTAATGAGGGTTCATTAGATTATTCTTCCTGCTTTAGCGAATGTTTGGAAAT